CACAGCAACCATGAGTTACCTCTGTACAGCAACGCACAGGCCAGTGCTATACCACCTAGAAGAACGTTTGCCAAGAAAACTATTTGAACCTAGCCGAGGGCCGCAGATGAAAATCATCCACCTGTGGCATCTAGGAAGCATCAAAAGAAGATGGAAGGAATACACAGAGTCACTGTACCAGGAAAAAAAAGGCTGACAATTTAAAATGCTTCCCATTTTAGGAACAGAATATGATCAAGAACCAATAGGAGGAAATTCGAGCTGCTCTGAAGGAATTGGCAAAAAAATAAGGTCCCAGAAATTGATGGAATACCAGCTGACATATTTCAACAAACAGGCGCTGACCTGGATGTGCTCACCAAGTTGTGCCAACAAATCTGGAGGACAACCACCTGGTCACTTGACTGAAAAGAGATCCATATTTGTTCCCATACCAAAGAAAGGTGATCCAACTGAGTGCGAAAATTATTGAACAATATCATTTATATCATATGCAGGCAACACTCTGCTGAAAATTATCTAGAAATGGCTAGAATAGCACATCAACAGAGACCTGCCAGATGTACAGGCAGAGTTTAGAAGAGCCCATGGTACGAGGGATACTACAGATAATGTTAGATAGATCTTGGCTGAGAGCAGAGTGTACCAGAGGAATGTCTATCTGTGTTTCATTGACTATGCAAGAGCATTTGACTGTGTGGATCACAACAAACTGTGGCTGACTCAGAGAAGAATGGGAATCCCAGAACACTTGATTGTGCTTATGTGAAACCTATACTTGGACCAGGAGGCAGTCATCAGGACAGAGCAAGGAAACACTGCATGGTTCAAAATCAGGAAGGGTGTACTCCAGGGAAGCATCCCATATCCATAACTTTTCAGTCTATACACACAAACGATCATCTGGGAGGCTGGGTTCCATGAGGAGGAGTGTGGTATCAGGATTGGAGGAAGACTCATCAACAATCTGCGTTATGCAGGTGACACAACCCTCCTTGCTGAAACTGAGGAGGACCTGAAGCGCTTGCTGCAGAAGGTCAAGGACTGCAGCCTTCAATATGGATTGAAGCTCAACATCAGGAAAACAAAGATTCTCACCAGTGGGCCTATTGACAGCATCATGATAGATGGTCAAGATATTGAGATTGTTAACAGCTTTGGTTTGCTCGACTCCACAATCAGTATTCTAGGTACCAGCAGCCAGGAAATCAAAAGGCAAATTGCATTGGGCAAAGTCTGCTATCAGGGATCATTCCAGAGTACTGAAGAGCAATAATGTCAGTCTGGAGACTAAGGTGCACCTGATATAGGCCCTAGTCTTTGCAATTACATGCTATGCATCAGAAAAGTGGATAATGATTAGGGATAAAAGACAGAGAATTGATGCCTTTGAGCTCTGGTGCTGGAGAATAGTATTGAATACACATTGGACTGTCAGGAGAACAAACAGGTTCCTCCTGGAGACAGATAAACCAGCCTGCCCCTTGGAGGCAAGGATTCTGAAGCTTTGTCTGACATACTTTGGGCATGTTTCAAGGAGGGACCAGTCGTTGGAGAAGGACATCACGCCTGGAAGGGGGCAGGGAAAGCACAAAAGAGGAAGACTCTCAATGAGATGGATTGACTCAGTGACTGGGGTAATGGAGGTAGATGTGTTTGGCACAGGATAGAATAGAGTTCAGAGGGTTTTTTTACATAGAGTCACTATGAGTTGCAAACAACGACACATGATAACAACATCATTAGCTAAAGTACATTTTCTAAAGGTTAAATCATACCTGTTGCTATTCTGCTTACACACTACAGTGACTATCCAATCAAAACTCAAGTCATCTAACTTAAGGCTGCCCAGTCATTTCCAATTTATAGCAACCTCCTGGGACACAGGAGAACTGCTCCAACTCTTTCTTTTTTAACACATTGCCTCACACTTTTTAGATTGACTACCGTGCTTAGAAACACATTTGCAACATATTAAAAATCATTTATATAGTCACTTATCTGCTTTATCCTACAAAATACCTATGCTATTTTAATAATAATAACAATAATAATGATGATGATGTTGATACTGTCCATTTTAAAATCACTACTCCTAAAAGAAGGCGCTTTGGTGGCCTAGTGGGTAAAGAGTTGCATTGCCAACCCAGAGGATGGCGGTTCAAATTCACCAACTTCTCTGTGGAAAAAACATAGACAATATCCTCCCATGTGATTTATAAGCTCAGAGAACTCAGTAGAGGGTCAGCTATGAGTGGGTTTTGATTCAACAGCACAAAACCACCACCACCACTAATAAGACTGCTGAATGTAATTTAAAGAGTTTATGAAAGTATATTGTTGGCTTTACCAACTGAAGTCAAACTGCTTCTGATGATCCTCTGAAGTCGGAAGGGACGATGAGTACTGGCCAGATCAATACCTACACACCAGGTACCAGGTTGTTGTTAGGTGCCGTTGAGTCAAGTATGACTCATAGTGACCTTATGAACCCTGACCCATCCTGTGCCATCCTCACAGTCTCTGACACACTCAAACCCATTGGGGCAGTCAATGTGCCAAACTACCTGGTGGAGAGTCTTGCTCTCTTTTGCCATCCCCTCATCTCCCGAAGCATGGAGTCACTCTTCAAGCCTCTCCTGGCAACATGCCCAAAGTATGTGAGACGACGCTTCGCCGTCCCTGCCTCCAAGGAGCACTCTGGCTGCGCCTTCTCTAAGATACATGTTTGCTCTTTGGGCAGTCCACGGGATAATCAGCACCTTTTTTTTCCACAACAGAGCTCAAAGGCTTCAATCTTTTTTCTATTACCATTATTCATATTTCAACTGTTGAGGTACCAGGAGATGTGTGGATTTGTTCAAGCAATGAAACCACATCTGGAATAGTGGCTTCAACTGGAGTCGCTATGTGGTTAAGTTCATGGTAAGCGACTTTCTCCACGTGGCACTCACATTAAATGGGTGTGTGGTGGGAAGCCCTTGACAGTGGCAGTAATGGTGTGGCTCTTCTAGGACATCGGTCCTGCTTTTGTTCACAATTTCCTAGGCTGGAGCAACTCTGATACCTTCCGCTTGGCTTTTCCTACCATGACACCCCGCACGGGTGAGGCAGCCAGTGGAGGGGTTCGGCCTCATGCTGAGCATGTCTGGCCCTATAATGCATTCTGCAACTGGTGAAATCGCTACCAGATGGGTGTGAGCAACCTCTACGTCCAATATGAGACAGACCTGAGCTAAGACTCCACTGAAAGCCTTCCGTCCACATGCCCTTGCTCTGACTGGCGGATCACAGGGACATTGCGGATAGCCAGGAATTAGTGCCAGTGCAGAGCAAGCCTGAGTATTTCCTTTTCTCCAGTCAACAGTCATTCCTGTAAAAGCTGTAGATCCCTCTGGAAAAGAGTGGGAGAGAGATGAACAGTGTGAGCTTTAACGGAGTATTGAGATCCTTTCTCCAAGGGATCCGTCCACACCTGCCCTTCATTCAGGGAATTGTGGGCTTTTAAACTGGCTCACGCTGTGGAACTGACTGAGAGGCCGTGACTGTGTTCAGGAGATTCAAATGAGATTGCCTTCCACTTGATCTAGAATCCCTCCATTTGAACAAGCCTAGTAAATAGCTGATAAGTTTCCTTTGTATTTGAGTCATTGAACACCATGACTAAGTAGCCACTGCCATCAATGTAGAGGTGATCACTGCTTTGGTCTTGCTGTCCTTATTGGTATCCACTCCTGTCTTGTCCTTGTCTACTGAGCACAGCCACCTGGCCCTTATTCCCTCGGGGTGCAACCACCCCCACTGTAGTTAGTGCCTTGATTCTTCCCCCCTTTTTTTATTATTAATCGTAATGAAAGTTTACAGAGACTTTGGATTTCCATTCATTTATTGTTGCATTTTCTCCCTGCCCAACTTCCCCACCAGTTCGTTCTTCTCTTTGAAAATTAAAAGACAAATTCTTTCATTGCTACACAATCCCTCCCCTGAAGTCCACTCCACTACGCAGCCTTCGTTCTGGAAGGGCAGTTTTCACTTTCAAGTCTCGTTTACATAAAATGACAAGTACAACAGACTTCAAAGATGCTGGGACGCCCCTCACAAATTTATTCCTTGTAGTTGTCGTGAATGATATATCCTCTGGTCATTCCATGTTTGAGTTTATAGATCTAACCTGATAAATCCACTGTAACATGTCAGTTTCCTCAAAGTATACATACATACCTCTTCTTCTACAATACAACAAGGCAGGCGTGGTACTTCCATTTCACTTGCTTCAGCAGAACAAATGAATGAATAATTAGATCTTTTCTTAACCTCTTGAGCTGAAACACGAACAAAGAATCTGTGCTTAGTGTGCCCAAATCGATAAACTCAGGTGGATCCAAGTTTATGGTCCTTGAACCATTATCTGAGACTCTTAATAGGCATTCCCACAAATACTTTCCAGGATTCTGTTTGCACATATTAGAAAAATTGAGCAGTTCCTTTGGAAGGTAGTATATCTCTTCCTGAGTTACAATTTGTACTTTACCTTTGGGGATTTGATGCAATTCAACTCTGATTATTAATATCCCACCAACTGTCAAGAGAAAAGACAATGAATGTTTTGGAGAATGTGCAACCAGGGTGCTCCTTGGAGGCAAGGATGGTGAAATCCTACACATTTTGGGTATGGAGTTACAAAGAGCTGATCCTTGGAAAAGGACATCATGTTTGGAAAGGTGGGAGAGTCAGTGAAAGAGAGGAAGACCATCACTGAGATGTTTTGATATAGTGACTATAACAATGGGCTCAAGTATATCAGAGATGATAAGGATGACACAGAATAGGGCAATATTAAGGTCTGCTTGTTATGGGGTTGCTATGAGTTGGAGTTGACTCCATGGCACCTACCAACACCAGCATAGGTCTAGAGGCAAAGATGAGTGGTGTGAATGGTTCTTGAGAACACTGAACCATGTTTTATAAGATATATACTCAGGCAATGCCTCAGACCATACCCCGGGCTCTGCCACAGGTAAATTCTCACACTCATGGTCATAAAGTACAGCTGGTTAACCTTGTGAGCTGAGCAGGAGAACTGGTTCTGTTGGCAGGACTGGTTCAACAGGGTTTAGAGGCTCAGAGCCTCCAGTTTCCTCATGATCTGTTCCATATGCCCCATCCCAGTTCTCAGGATCCTGTTTCTTCCTAATTCATGCCCTGGCTTTCACTTCAGACACTATTTGAGGTTGCCACTTCAGATGACATTGCAATTTGGCTACTCTTACTTAAGATTTTTTGTTTGTTTTTTAGCAACATCAGCTTTGTTACTATAAGACATAGGGTTTTTTGGAAGATATAACTGGAAACTCTGAGGTCTTTCATGTGACACTTGAACAGTGACTCAGAAGCCCTGAGTTCATCTCTGTGGCCACTTTGTCTAAGATAAGGAGGACCAACCCATGAGTTTTCCTAAACTCCTCGTTTGGACAAAATCGTAGAAAAGTGTCAAACACATGATCACTCGGCCTTAATTCTCATTAATATCTACTGGTGGTGGTGTTTTGGGGATTAATATTGCCACTTTACACCATGGATTAGCAGAGTCCTCCTTACTAAGGGAGGAAGAGCCACCAGCACCGCTAAATGTACTCAGACTGAAAGGGGAAAGTTCTGATGTGAAAAACAATGCATATAAACTTTATGAACTTTGTAAATAACCAGTATAAAATAATTAAAAAAACACACATAAACCCAAACCATCTTTACAGTTTGTTTCTCTAGAACCATTCCTATTGCCTTAGGCTGGTTTCTCTAGAAACCAACACACACACACACACACACACACACACACACACTCACACACGCAGAGTCACTGAGAGCTTTATCCCACCAGTAATTCTACAGGAGAAAGAAGGACAATGCCCTTCCATGAGACTCACACCCTCAGAAAACCAGTGAAGGGCCAGCTATGAGTCAGTTCTGACTCGAGAGTAGTGAGAGTGAGTGAATGGAAGACAAGGAGTCCTGGCGGTGTGGCCCATGGCAAGTAGCACTGCTGACCCAGGGCCTTTCATCTCCAGCAATTCCATCCACCCGTGGCTCCTCTAGAGAAGACAGGCAGTCTCCACCATTACAACTGACAGCCTGGAGAATCTGACTGTCAATAAAGGGAGGACTGTTATAAATAAGTCGGGATCCACTCAATGAGGGTGAGAAAGATATAGAGGTAGTACATAGATGATAGATAGATAGATAGATAGATAGATAGATAGATAGATAGATAGATAGATAGATAATCTGGTAGCCTAGTGGCAAGAAGCTGCACTTGTAATCCCGTAGGCACGCTGTTAGAAGCCACCAGCTGCTCTGCAGGAGACGGATGGGAAATCTACTCCTATGTGATTAACTGCCTCTGAAAACCTGCTGGAGGGTCAGCTATGGGTTGGTTCTGACTCTACAATAAACAACAACAATATATGACCCATAGTTGACCCTCCAGTAGGTTTTCAGAGACAGTTAACTGCACAGGAGGAGATTGCCCATTTTTCTCCTGTACAGCAGCTGGTGATTTGAACCATATGCCTTTGAAATTGCTCATATTTCTCCCTCAGAGGAGCTGATGGATTTGAGCCACATACCTTTGTGTTAGCAGTGCAATTTCTAACCACTAAACCACCAGAGCTCCCTTGTTTTTCTGGTTTCTTCAGAAAATGAAGGAAAGCTGATTGATTCCCCTTGTCTAGAAGTTGTGGGGATTCCCCTTCAACTAAGCTTGTATATTGGAAATCTCCTGTCTCTGAAATCCTGCTAGAGGGTCAGCTATGAGTCATTCTGACTTGAATGTAAGTAACAACAGCACCACACACACACACACACACACACACACACACACACACAGAGAGAGAGAGAGAGAGCATTCACTTCCTAACAACATGCCTCTGGAAACTCTGTGAACTTTGAGACACAATAATAGTTATAGAAAGGCTTCAGAAATACTGCATGGTGCCACTGCTGTAGAATGGGACTGACATGAGGGTTGGGGTAAGAATGAGAAAAACGGGATGAATTATGTATACTGTACTGAAATGGATAAGGGAGAGAACAGTTTAAAAGCAATATATTATAGGGCATTGTGACTATCATAAGAGTTCGGAATGAGGGTTGCAGAGTGGAGTATACTCGGGGTGGGAGTGGGGGGTGGGGGGAGGATTGTGTACCAGTGAAGGAATTTTTTTCTTACTTTTCAAAGAGAAGAGTGAACTGGGGGGGGGGGAGGGGGGGGCGGGGAGAGAAGTGCAACAATGAATGACTGGAAATCCAAAAATCTCTGTAAATGTTCATTGAAATTAATAAAATATTTTTTTTAAAAAAAGGAAGGCTTCAAGTCTTTTGTTCATAGGGTTGCTACAAGTTGTGCTTGACTCAGCAATCAACAACAATTATACATGTATATACATGTTACTGTTAGATGCCTCTGGGTTAACTATGACTCATAGCAGCCTTAGAAACATTGAACACCCTTATCTTACCTTGACTTTTCCCTCACAATCAACCTCAAGAACTCTGTCATGCTCAAGGCCACTGGAGCAGTCACTGTGTCCATCCATCTCCTTGATGGGCTTCTTTACTTTCTCTGACCCTACCTTTTCCAGCATGATGTCTCTCTCCAAGGACCGGTTCCTCTGGAAAATATGCCCAAAGCATGTGAGACTGTGCTTCACCATCCTTGCCTCTGACACTCTCGTTGCACTTCTTTAAGATAGATTTGTTTGGGGTGGGGTGGTGGGATTTTTTTTGTGTGTGTGGGGTTTTTTTTCAGTCCATGATTCCCTTCTCCTCACTAATATCATTCGAAGGCATCAAATCTTCTTCAGCCTTCTTTATTCATTGCCCAGCTCTCAGATGCATAGGAAGTAACTGATAACACCATGACTTGGATTAGTTGCACCTTGGTCTTTAAACTGACATCTTTCCTGTTTAGAAATGTAGAGAGGTTCAACACGACTTGATTTCTTGATTGCTGCTGCCATGGGTGTTTACTGATTCAAGTGAAATGAAACAATTGACAACTTCAATCATTTCTCCATTTATCATGATGTGGCCTATTGGTCCAGTAGGGAGGATGTTTGGTATTTTTATTTTGCAATGTAATCCATATTGAAATATGTAGTCTTGGATATTTGACAGTAAGTGCTTCAAGTCCTCTTCACTTTCTGCAAGCAAGGTTGGTTCCATTTCAGTTCAAACCTTCATGGGGTTTCTGAGACTACAGATCTTTATGTTTATGTTCTGACAGAAATACAGTTTGGTATGTTGACAATAGGTGATGGGAGACAAGGAGAGATGTGGGGAAAACATCAAGGTGGCTACTGGAATAATGGTGTCACTCTGGAGACTAATGTGCATCTGATACAGGCCATGGTCTTTGTAATCATGTGTTATGCATCAGAGAGTTGGACAATGACTAAGGAGGATAGGAGAATTGATGCCTTTGAGCTGTGGTGCTGGAAAAGAGTATTGAGGGTACCATGGACTGCTAAGAAAACAAACAGATTCATCCTGGAGAGGGTTAAACTGGGCTGCTCCTTGGAGGCAAAGATTCTAGAGCTTCATCTGACATGTTTTGAACATGTTGTAAGAAGGGACGGGTCCTTGGAGAGGGATATCATGCTTGGTAGGGTGGAGGGACAGCACAGGAGGGGAAGAC